TTTCACAATTTTTTATAATAAACTGAATGAATATGCGAAAATGTTATTTTGACGTATATTTATACAACATATAAAGAGAAGAAAAATATAATTTTGGTGATCAAATACTCAATATAAGTATATGGTACATGCAGTTAAAATATATTTCGTTTTTCTTTTCAAGGTCGTTATTTTGCAATATCTCGGTAGTTCAATTAAGCTGAATTTTAGGTAGAAAATTTCCGTAAGCTTGTCGTTATCGTGTGAACCACTGACAAACGTGAAAATATTTAATTTTGAAATATTAATTTTTTTACTATAAAAGAACTGAAAATTTAATAATATTCCATTAAGATATTTGCAATTTTGTTAATTTTTACTCAATTTCTATTATAGTGGTTCACACAATAACGACAAGCTTACGGAAATTTTCTACCTAAGATTCAGTTCGAACCACCGAGAGTCAAGATGTTACTGCAAAATGACGACTTTGAAAAGAAAAACGAAGTATATTTTAACTGCATGTACCATACACTTATATTGAGTATTTGATCAACAAAATTATATTTTTCTTCTCTTTATATGTCGTCAAAATAACACTTTCGCATATTCATTCAGTTTGTCATAAAAAATTGTGAAAAAAATAAGCGCGATTTTCAGTCCCCTTAAGTATGAATATTTAAACTTCCAATATGGAATATCTTCTACGTTGAAATATTCGTATTTAAAAACCAAGACACAGCAAGAACTCGAGTGAGGAACCAGTGTTATCAATGTCTAGGCGTTGGCACTTACAGCTGTTCTACGCGATTCGCGAATCCTTTGAACAGAATGTTTGCGAACTCCCGACGACTTCACCGCCACCGCGCGTTGGGATTTCGCAAATCGGTCGTTTCGCATGCAAAACCGACCTACCGTGCTGTCGGATTGCAAAAGTCTTTCTTCTCTTTCCCAAATAGACGAAGAAGAAGACGAGAACGAAAACGCGCAGGATCGGCCGCGGTAGACCTCCACCGTTTGGAAATGTTAAATCACCGTCGAATTGCGTTTGCCAAGAGATTTCTCGCTATTAACCGTGTATTATGCACGTGTTTAACCGCTTAGATTCCTCGCTCGAATAGACATCTCGACTCGTTATCATCCAAACAACCGCATAACAGCGACCACGGGATTTGTTTAATCGCACGTGCCTGGACAACGCGCGTTCTAATTTTCACGCAATATCCTTTACCAAATGTATTTCAGAGTCTTACATCCCCCCAGATATGTACGCGATCTCCTCTGACTGACTAAATTTCTCGTGTGCTCATTATAGATACAAATTAAAATTATTCGCATAGAGAACTCCTCCCAAATTCCAAGTTAATTTAAATGAACCAACCTCGTCACGACGAGATACAGAGTAACAGAGCCGCACCGGTGTGTGTGTGTGTGTGTGTACGTGTGACAGATTTATTAGAGAAATTCTCCCCGAATAAAATTCGCCGGCGCATTCATGGCTCCCGCGCGCGCGCGTGTTTTGGTCCCCTCCCGCTCCTTTCGCACGATTAACACACTAATTATACAATGTATGTCCCGTTGAAATGAAGTCCACAGGTTCCCAGACACGCGCCGCGTTCTCGGCTTCCTCGAAGAGCGCGCGGAGATTTATCATTTCATCGAACCTCATTGAATTTGTCTCGAGTAACGTGCAGCGGGCGCACGATGTCTGTTAGTTTATTAAAGCGACCGACTCGGGTGAAAGGATCAAGCGCACGACGGCGTGCAGGATAACGCATTGTTGGTGTGCATGCTTCGCTCATGCAGAACGCACCTGTCAATTGCGTTGACAGAGGCGTACGGTGACGAAAAGCGCGGGAGGACTTTTGACGCGAGAGAAAGAGAGCAAATCAGAACGGTGAGCTCGGGGTGCGGCCCGGGGAGTCGCGACCTAACTCTTTAGCTCGGTTTAGCCGTGTGTGTATGATGTGTGTGTGTGTGTGTGTATATATGTGCGCCAGTTATCCAACGGCGCGGACATTACGTAAACTGACATTTTCGCGGCTAACGTGAGCTAGCGAGCGAGTGAGCGAGCATACGATTCCAGCTGGAAAGCCAGCGAAACGTGGCGTGCGCGAGGCTCACCGACGATGACGGCGGAGACCCGCCTTTCCCGCCGTGCTGACGTTTTCGAAAAAGCCCACAACAACAGACGGATTGTCCGAGAGCCGCGAGAGCGAAAGTAATTAACCCTGCGCGTCCCGCGAGGCCGATTTACAATTAGCCGTTGTTATCGCGCCGTTACGTGCGCGCACGTAATCGTCTAGGATCGCAATTAAGAGCTGAAAATGAGTCGCGGGAGTCCACGGAGATCGATGACTCGTGCTCACCCGACGATGAAAACGTCAAATGAATCGAATCGAGCGAGTTGCCATGCAAATGGTTACCAAATGACATGCGTCCTCGTGCGCGTTTAATGAGCAAATCTCGTCGGACGTCGCGCGGAGATACACGCGCTTTCGCACTCGAGACTGTGGCCCGTATTAGCAGTTGTTGCTTGAAACTTGTTCCCAGTGGGATTTTCAGATTATCGATTGTTCAGATTCAGGAAATTTAGGTATTAATAGTCGTTGCTTGAAACTTGCATTGGGTAAAATTAGATTTAAATTTAGAGTTAAATGCGAATATTTCGATTGAATCGCGATTGGAAATGTAATGTTACGTGTATTGTGTGATTCTATGAAGAAAACTCTTAGAGTTATATTCTAAGGAGAACAGAACTGAAAAACTCTCATTCAACTCTGATCTCAGATCTTAATATTTCATTTGAAAGAAGTTTTAGGTAACGACTATTAATATTGGTTAAGACCCGTATTAATAGTCGTTACTTAAAACTTAGTCGTTACACTTTTTCATAGAATCACACAATACACGTAACATTACAATTCCAATTGCGATTCAGCCAAAATATTCATATCTTAATCCGTATTAATAGTCATTACTTAGAACTTCCTAAGATTTTAGATCAGAGTTGAATGAGAGTTTTTTAGTTGAATCGCGATTGCAGATGTCACATCCTATGTAGCACAAAAGTTTGAAAAAAATTTCAGAAAGATTTTAGAAAGATCTCAAAAAAGTTTAATGTTTCTGAAAACTTTTTGAAACTTCTGTACAGGATATATTATATAATTCAACTAAAAAACTTTAATTCTGAGTGAAAATCTGAGTATCTCATGTAAGACAAACTTCAAATAACGACTATTAATACAAACCTAAATTCATATCTGAGTATCTCACGTGGGACATGTTTCAAGTCACGATTATCAATACAAACGTGAGTTTGAAGTGTATCGATTGTGCCGGAAAAAAGAAAAAAATAAGGGAAACCGAATAGATTTCCTTATTCCAGAAATTTCAGATTTTCACTCAGAATTAGATCCACGTTTTTTAGTTGAATTATATGATATATTCTATATAGCACAGAAGTTTCAAAAAGCTTTCAGAAAGATTTCAGAAATATTGAACCTTTCTCAAATCTTTCTAAAATCTCTCTGAAACTTTTTCAAACTTTTGTGCTGTATGGGATGTGATATCTGCAATCGCGATTCAACTGAAAAACTCTCATTCAACTGTGACCTCAGATCTTAGTATTTCATTTGAAAGAAGTCTTAAGTAACGACTATTAATGCGGATTAAGAGTTAGATGCGAATATTTCGGCTGAATCACGATCGGAAATGTCCAGGAATTTCCTGGGAAAAAAACATTGAGTCTGCGGGCTCCCGTCGGAAATCGCCGTGGCGTATATCGACAGCACCACCTCGCTCATCGAAAGCGCCGTGAATGACCGATAAATAAAAACGAGGAGAAGAGCTCTCGGTGTGAATGCGCGTGTACTTTCTACGCTTGCGATTCTACGCGGCTCGACCTTCGAGCGTGATTTCAAGAAAACGACTGGCTGGCCGATGCCAGACAGGTGATGCTGGAGAATTCGATAATTTCGTGCGCGCGCGCGCGCGCGAATAATTTGCTGAGGATAAATTAGCGCCAAGATGTGCGTAAAACTGCACGCGTGCGAGGATTACGTCGGTAGTGATTCAACTTCTTTGGAGCGTTCGCGAAAACGATACACTGCAAGAGGCAAGGCTTAAGCTGCGATAAAGTCGTAACATTTACCAAGCAAAGTCATTAATCGTTCGCATCGTGTCTGATTGTGCGCGCTCATTATGACTGGTACTTATTCACTTAATCTGTCACTTCTCGGACAGCACAAACTTCTAAAGATGTTCTTCAAGATGCTCTCTCAAAAAAAGACGTCCTATTTTATTTAGACGTCTTTTACGCGTCTTTCAGATGTCTTTTGGAAGCTTGTGTCGCTCGAATTTGACAGCTTGACATAAATGCTTAACAAAATGTTGAGTCTAAATTTTTTTAATTTTTGATGATTGCTTTGATCGTTCTCTTCTTTTTTTGCTGTTTTCCTTACTGTAATTTTGCTGTCTTATACTTGCACTTTGTTTTCTTTTTGACTTCTTGTAATCCCGAAAGGATTATTATCCCATTAATAAAGGATAAATTATATTGCGTCAGAGCGTGTCATATATATATATCCAAATATCAAATCAATAAATCAAATGCGATTATAGAAAAACCGGAGAGAGTTTTGGCCTGGTAAATGTTAAGACTTTATTGAAACTCGGCGTACACACGCGCCGCTAATGAAATGCCAACCGCGGTTGACGGAGGCGGCAGAACGAGAGACACGAAAGCGCGTTATTATGTACGAAGGAGTAAATCTACTCGGCTGACTCGGCGGCGGCCGTACGATTAAGCGACAGTTTTATACACACGAGAAAGTGTCGTTAAATTCAATCAATCGCTCGCGTAACGTAGCAAATTGATTAGGGGTGGGATTCATTAAACGCTTCGAGGAATTCTAGCTGTATGAAATTATTAACTTGGTGCAGAGAAAATGCGCTTCGCGAAGCATGTAAATCGCCCAGTTGCACCCTTTAAATTATACGCAAACAGGTGACACACTCACCCACTCTGGACGCGACCACCAGGATCAGCAACACGCCGCTCACGATTATCATCTTCCCTGGTCGCTCGTGGCCGCCGATGTAGGTTCACGATTCGTCCTGGTTCTGGACAGACAGAATAGGGGTTGATATTATTATTAAATTTGTCCGTTTTGTGCTCACACACACTCACTCTCTTTCTCTCTCTCTCTCTCTCTCTCTCTCTCTCTC